TGTGACTTCCACGTAAGATCTTATAGATTAGGCAGTTATATCATGACAAATCGACAAGTTTAGGATTAGGTCTATTATTAGAGCAGTACTAATATCATAGTAGACCATAATTCTACATTGGTGAGCTCAACTAAAGAAACGCAACCTATTATTGTTAATCCTTATTTCCACCTTAACCTTCTCAATCGGTTTTTATTTTTTGTAAACCCAATATTCTAATAGTCCTTTGATTAATGGTCACATATATTATCGTAATGTTATATCTATCAGTTCACATAACTTACTGGCTCAATCGATATTAAAAGTTGATCATCTATATCAACTAATTAGCTTTGATGGTTCGTTAACAAGCTTTAATAGCATTTACCTGCTTCAGCGACATAGACTTGTTTAAACATCAAGCTCTAGCAAATATGACCTATGAATAGCGTAAATATACATTGACTAACAAGGCAATCAAGGATTGAATAGTTATCTGGATCTAATTTTTAGTGTTCCTTCGGTTAACACCTCATCCTGTTTTAAACTATGCACTATCCTGTAATATCTTTCTTCTGACCACTGCCTGCCTAATTTCATATTCTCGAGTTCCATTGCCAAACAACAAGGATGACACTTCTCCAAATAAATACCGTGAGTTCCAGCTATAAGTTTTGCTGCAATCATAAGTTCATTTTAGATGGCTCATTCAATGGGACACACAATTATCTGGATTCATTCAGTTGTTCTGATCAGAGCAAGTCCCAAAAACCTCAACAGCATCAAGCACCCTGGAAGTGATTGCCATACTGCATGTTTTATTCTGGATGCTTTTGGATCATTACTACTCACGAATTGCGTTATATATGTCGTCCACTGAATAATCTAATTTTCAAAAATAATCCAGGCGAGTTCAACTATTTTACTGGATGATTTTTTTTACTTAACATGTATATGTTTTCCGGTCCCTTTTGCTATGTATTTGTAAGTGTCCCTAGGCTAAATGCTGTAACTCCTTATGGAATGTTTATCACGCATCATATTCCTGCCTGAAGTTTCACAAGCAGTCTAAACTTTAAAACTATTTTCTGGTCATGTTCATTATTTTTAAATCGTCATATACGTCAACAACCTGCATGTTAACCTGGCCCATACATACGTTACACTATATCTCCATGTCTTCTAAATTTAGAAATCATCTGAATCGCCTTTAACATTTATCAATAAACCCATCATAGTCGTTGTTGCTAATCGTATTTGGGTTTATGGATTGGTTTATCATATTACCAGCCTAAAATGCGAACATAGTTTAGATAATTAGATTAAAAAATTTAGGTACTGTCAACTGCACTAATAAAATAACTAAATCCCCAGGTAGCTGTTGGCTAAATAAACGCTTAAAATCAAAACTCCGTAGCCTACTAAAATTAACACTAAACGAATATTTCTGAATTGAAATTTATAATTAAATTAGGCGTCTCGGATTCTTTAACGTTATAAGTTTCTGATGATTTCGAATCACCTAAAGCAACAATACCTATTTTTCCACTGACTAATCCTCAGTCAACACTATCACTAGTTAAATTTAATAGTTTCAGGATATCGTCATAAAGCATTGTCATAACTTGACAATCACGTAATATGACTGATAAAATTAATAAAACTATTAACGAAATCGGTCAACAAATTGACTTATAATTACCATTAAATGGTGTTGTTTTCTTGGTATCTTTATCCATCACAGATGATTACAGTATGTTTCTCTATCAGTTGCTCATTCAATAAATATCTCAAAACCTTGTCAGTCTAATTGATGGTTTAGCGACACAATCATGCATGCAAATAATCAGTATAAGCAGTCGAGCAAATCTCCTGCAAACTGAAAACATCAATGTCGAATTTACCCCAACACTGACTAAGGTTCAAGCCATTATCATAGACATGAGTTGGGAGTGTACTCCCCCTGGTTACAACTTATGTTCTCCCTGATAATCACATGAGCATCACTCACTATTAATCATCTTGTAAAAACTTATTTAGCTAAATACATTTTGCAGCACCACATCACTTCGTAATATGACACAGGTCTAACTGATTTTAATAACTTGTAACCACTATATCTCAATTAAATCGTGTTCCGCCTTATGATAAACTGCATACTTGCAACTAACTTGTATGTCCAATCAGCCGGCAAGTATAAATACAAGTAAATAGTCTGCCACAGATCAGAACATTGAGTCTAGAGCATGTCTCTTACGAATACGCTCATGTTTAACGATTTGTTCCTAGCTATCTGTCCAAAATTCATATAATCATCACTCACGTATTTAAATTTTGTTTTGATGAACATTCATGTGTATTAGTAGTATTACCAAATTCTATCACGGTCAAGTAAAAATGAGGTTGAGAAAATCTTCCCGTAACTAAATAAACCGTATCAAACTAACTGGAACACTAGTTGGAATTCTTTACCATGGTAATACTTTTGTTCCTTCAGTTAGCCTACTGATACAGATGCAATTGGAAATCAACTCTTATGGACAACTTACCGGCATAATCGTTATCCGATTTCATAATTTAAACCAAAACTAATACCAATATTAACATTTCTACAATATTCATTATTTTAATATTTCTAAACACAAAATAATTACTACCTATAAGTTAAGTTATTAACACGCATCGTTTTATTATTATTATTATTATCATAATCTCATTTTTTATAGTTCAAATAATCTTTACCCAAATTTTCATTTCAAGCGTTTTAAGCATGAAGGCAGATATTTTAAAATTATTACATGTATTTCCCGACCAGATGCTGCCGCTTTCTTTTTGATTTATCTTTCAGCTTACCAATACCCGGAGGATTCTTATTATCCTTGGTAACCGCCGGCGCGCGACGATCCCATCCAATTTGGTATCGAACCAACATCACGTTGATTCTGGTGGGAGAGTAGTGTAGTGGCATTGGACAATAGCCACACAATCCACAAAGCTGTGAACACGAGACTACTCAGAAAATAGATATTCAATATTTAACTCGGAGAAATACCTAACAATGGAGAAGGCGCGAACAATGAATTGAATGGACTGGAGTTGATCGAGTGGCATGGCTCGTCCATGCAGGCGTGGTCCATCTCAGTGTTACTTTATATCTTCTATTCATATTAAATATATTGTTCTTTCTCTAGCCTAACCTTGTTCCTCATCATGTATTGGTAATTGATACGATACAGTGAGTTGGTGTAGTCGATGGTGTGACTTCCACGTAAGATCTTATAGATTAGGCAGTTATATCATGACAAATCGACAAGTTTAGGATTAGGTCTATTATTAGAGCAGTACTAATATCATAGTAGACCATAATTCTACAGAATCACATCTTGAGGCTTGAATAATCTGTCACTTGGAAAATTCTAACTATTTGATAGGCAACAGAGATGAAGAAAAGGTAGTCGTCACTCTACATTTTAACTGTACTAAAGCGCACGATGAGCCTCTATTGCATCCGGTATGACAGGTAAAATAACCTATAGAGCGCGAGCAATCGATATAAAGATAAAACAGATATTTTCGGGCATTGAACTTTATTGTTTGTCTTATACTTTGAAACTAGCATAAAATCATTCTGGTTATTTATTTTAACATTCTATCCATTGGTTTGAGACTTTTTACGATCAACTCCTCAGTGATCACTGTTCTTTAATATATCTGCAACCTTTTTATGACAGCTGGCTTAGTGATTAGTAACGTTTTACATGCCGATCTAATATGCTTTAATTTCTTTCACTAGAAACAACTATGGTTTATCAATTGTTTATGTTTGCTTTTTTCTACATCTCGCCTTTCTTTGATATTTCATTGCGGCATCTTTCTATAAGTATCATTTAGAGACGGTTAGTATAAATGTATTAGATGATTTAGATGTCTTGCAGTTAACGCTAAGCTACAGGAGAATAAGAAGCGATTCAACAATGTCGTAAAAAAATCTCTGTACTCCAAGCCGCCTTATTACGAACATATTACAAGAACATCACCATCACGGAACTTAAGGCAGTCCTCGAAAGACTGAAAATCAAAGAGAAAATAGCCAGATATTCTCTCACTTCGTATTAAGGGTTCCCCACACTTAGAATGCCTCTCAGCAGAGGTGACCATAGCCCATTCATTAGGTAGCCTTAGGAGTAGACTGACTACGTCTGATACATGTCTCGCAATTTACCACAGTTATCTTTACCGCATATTGGTAACTACTTTATATCACTTCAATAATTATTTCCATTTCCTCTCTTATACTTTCAATTCCGACTTCCTACTCATTACCAATCAAATAACTAATTCGTAAAACAGTCGTCTTCTCTCGGCACTCCAATTATCACTATTATTTTCAAATTAAAACTAACTAACATTCTGCCCATTAATGTGGTGGCCGCTGATGTCCGGAAACCCCATTGTTTTATGAAAAACGCACTCACCCAACTTCAAAATATGCAAATCAATAAATAACTAATACAATGACTAGAATTACTTCTGTCGAGTAACTAGACTACCATTCATTAGACATTATGGAATATCTGGAACTGCATCGCGGATACAAGAAGCGAGAAAAAAGAAACTAACCGCTTTATTGAAGCTCGTGATTTAGATATTGCATAATGGATTTAGAAATCACGCGTTTTTAATGTTGTCTAATATGTGAAACAGCTCTATTGTTTTCAGCCAATTTAAAGTGTCATAACACAGCAGTGAAGAAATCAAATAGTCCATAAATGGTTTGTAATCATGTTAAGAGTTGTCAGATTTTGCACTCCATCTTTGTAGTTTACTTAGCTTGTCCTTCATCGATACTGTCACACTTGTATCCTACATAACACATGAAATGCGTCAGAATCTTGTACTGATATTATATGGCAGTAGGCGAGTAAACCATCGTGGCTGACGATGTTATTAATTCAGGGGTTCAAGAACAAATATCCTTTTTTGATCGCTTTGTTAGAGTGAGCTACTCATACATGCGACCTTGCATGAGACGCTTAGAGCAATACAAAATCATGACGACGTAATGGAGTTTGGATCTGGCCTAGACAAGGTTTTGAAACAAGAAGTCGCAGTCATTTATGGAAACAAAGTCAGAGAATTACATGCGCTTGAGCACAATCAGTTGTATTTATTGCTTACACAATCATATTATTAAGTTTTTCAAGGAATGTAACAGAAGCTGACTCGTTCAAAAGTTTAGCTAGTCTTTTGGATTTACTAGGTGAACGTTCGGCAAAAGTAAACACATTCTTAACTCATTTTGAAAGGCTCAAACGTTACCTGGACCTGTGACGTCCTATACGAAGTTCAGGGATTCGAACCAGACAATTTTTTTATTATCTGATATTCCTTCAAAAAAGTGCGTAAAATTTACCATCAATTTTCGTTTAGAATTTTAGGTTTCTTAAAAACAGGTAGGAAGCGTCTTTTTGTGCATGACAGAAGAGGCGTTTGTGTCGAATGTGTGCCTTTATGTGTTTTGGATTTCTACGTACATGAAGCACATCAGAGGAAAGGTTGTGGAAAAAAGTTGTTTGACTTTATGCTTAAAGTAAGTGTTTCAGCGATGAGTTGTCACATTCAACTTATGGTGTTATCTTGTTTTGGTGCAATCATGTTGACTGTACCAGTCATCAAGTATTTCCTTGTTCAAATTTCGCTCCTTTTTCTGTATTAGTTCTTCTTACTGAGCTCAAAGTTCTCTTTATCAAAGCAAAGCGATGGTACAACGGTTTGTAAGATGGACCTTTGATCAAGAAGTAATAGATTGTTACCCAATTTTTTTTACATCATAGGGATATGTGACCCTATATAAATCAACACATCCATGTTCGATTCGATATACAATAAGCTACCTATTCATATATGTATTCTTGCTTAACAATAATAGTGTTTTTTAAAGCTCGCTTATGAGCTTTGCTCGTAGTCCTACATGAGTGTATTGGAAGCAAAGAACCAGCAATTTCCATTTTATATGTAACGTTTAAATACGTTAAATCATTTGGTAAAATTGCTAATCAACATCTATTGAAATGAACATAATGTTTGATATGAATTCATATGGCTTTTTATTGTAATATGCAAGGTTAGCATTGCTGGAATTAGAATAGATCGATTTTACGGGTAGCCATCCAGTTTGGTTTTTGTAGTGTTGATTTGTAGTGAGGATTTAGAGCTCAGATAAATGCTTTTGGTGTTACTGAGATAGATTGTTCAACTTCGGAGCTTTCCCTTTCATTTTATTTCACGTCATCAGCGCTTACTTTATATAGAAGTAAGCTTATTATTCATAGTTAAATGTTTAGTGATTTCTTCCTAGTTGCTTCGTTTGTGATTCTTTATCCTATTAGGTTTCGTTTTCTTCATTTCTACATATATTCTGTGTAACTGTCTTATTTGCTTAACATCTGATTGTGCTATTGATTGGCCTCTTTTGTAGTGATTGATAGATTGAGTCTCTTCATACATCTGTTAATTGATGATTGACCTGAATATTGTGTTTCCAGAACTTCCTTGATGTTATTGTAATTCTCTGAATTCAGAGTGTGATATTTTACAATGAGAGCTTGTGTCCACAGTTGTTTGTATGCTTGTGGAATCATTGTTAACATATTGTGTTTCACTGACAATTTCCGTTTGTTTATCTGTAAAAAAGCGGAACATCTACTTTGTCTAAAGCATTGTTTGTCACAGTCTATGAAATTCATTACTTAGTTGATATTGAATCTATCTCTCTTAGCTGTTATCTCTGAGCTGAATACAATGGAACAATGTGATTGTGTTGAGTTGTGAAACCAACCAAATAAAGCAGTCATTTTGAGTACCTTGTATGTAAGAAATAAAGATAAAAAATTGTGCTATTCAGAACTTAGTATACATCCCTAACATAAACAATATCTATCTAAGAACAGAGACTAGGGTTAAAATTTAGTTAAGTGAGTATCCCGTCCTTTGGAATTATTAAAGCTTGTCTTTCACACTAGAACATCTCTTATTACGACAACCAGCCTTTGGTTCTAATCAATAAGATGATGTACGGCATCATATTAGTCCATGTTTTCCACTTAATCTAACTACACTAGTCTTTAGTATATTTCTATATGTGTAATGAAATTGTCTTACACACTTTGAAAACTGTTGAAGGGAATGTTATCACCTTGATTCTCGAATATGTTTAACACTATGTACATAACTCTTCCTTACAAGTCCTCCAAAGTGTCCTGAAAAGCTATAAATAAAGTTTTCAAATATTTGGGATTATATACTTGTAAATTTTTGAGGAATTTTTAATCGTAAAAACCGAAAGAAACATGGGTACCTTTTCTTCTTACATACTTCTTGAAGACGGGCATTTCACTTCTTCGAGTCAACACAACTTTCCTGTCAGATGACTGTACATCATGAAATAACTCCATAGTTGATTAGTTATCTATTCAGTGTTCCGCTTTGCCTATTGTCCGCTTTAGCTCTTACTCGTAAGTTTACTAAATAATTAGCTTTGACTGTGAACGTAAAGTTCATCCGACACATGTACATCTGTTGTGTTTTAAATCATTTTAAGTGCTGTAAAAATTTTTTCTTAAATGTAATCACCTTGTATGAAGATAAAATCTATGACTTATCTTTGCTCCGTAAACCTTTTGTTATATCCCGATTGCAATAATGAATGATAACTTTTGAGAACGTTTTATGGACTAATGTGATACATATATTTTCGTTGTGTAATTTTTTAACTAACTAAACTATGCATGCGCATGTGTCTCTTCTTATAAGCTTTATTTTGACCGATAGACTATTATTATACTATTTATCATTCTTGAGTTCTGCTCAGTCTATTAATTACAGTCCTCCATATTCACAGTCACTTTTGGCCAGTTCTTGTACAGATGTTGTTTTCTGTTTAATGGTGCGATGTGGTTTGTTCGGTTTTTATATAAGCTCAATCTGTTTGAAATAAATGATTCATATCACAGAGGCTGAGATTTGTGTTCTAGACTCAACAGGCAGGAAGGCTAGACAGAAAGAGGGATTGATGAGGAAATATAGACTGTTCGTACTTGTTTAATGCGTTATTGGTCCGGTCGATAGGTCATTGTTCTCTAATTGGCGGTATCATTACCTTATATATATTAATAAGGCACAAGTCGACAAGCTATTATAGTAACATTGTTAGTATTTTAAAATTAGGTAGGGTTTACGACTCCGTGTTATTGACTACATTTATTTATGAAATCATTCATGTAAACAAATTTTAAATGTCCTCAGTATCACTCTACTTAAGGTCATAGATATTCAGCTAATGTGAATTAAATTTTGTTACTTCATAAATAAATGTAGTCGGCGAGACTATAATTTCTGGACGAACCAATCAGGTCTAAGATAACAGGTCTCGGATTTTGGCGCGAAATCCACTCATCCATTTGGCTAAATAGCATCTTGGCTTTATAAATGATGTCAGTTCATGATGAAAAACCTAATTGTAATTCCTAACCCAAACTATCAACTGTAAATTATAATTATAATTCCTCACACTAACTTATAACCCTCATTTGATCCTAGTTATTAGGTAGACAGTTTCGAGGTTAGTTTAGCGTTGCTTAAAGGTCGTCCATACGTTGTAGTCTCACCGAATAACTTTAGGAAATTTATAAACACGCCTATCACCTACATATGCTTATACATATGTTTAATTACATGGATGTATAAATTAAAAACGTTTAATCTGTATACGATGTGATATTCTTATATTCTATAATCTCCCATGAATATCATGATCATTACTTTTCATTAACTTAAACAAGTGTTATATCTTGTGACGTTGTACCCTATTAGTATATAACATAATGATACCGCCAATTAGAGAACAATGACCTATCAACCGGACCAATGACAAGTAAACCCATACAAGAAGTCTATATTCCTTATCGGTCCCTCTTCTTGTCTAGCCTTCCTGCCTGTTGAATCTAGAACACAAATCTCAGCCTCTGTGATATGAATCATTTATTTCAAACAGATTGAGTTTATACACACCAGTCAAACAGACCACAACGTGCCATAAAATAGGAAACAACATTTGTACAAGATCTAGCCAAAAGTCGCTGTGAATGTGGGAACTCAAAAATGATAAATCGTATAATAACAGTCCACAGATCAAAATAAAGCTCATAATGACAGGAACACGAATATGAATAGTTTAGTTACTTGACAGTTATACAATAAGAATATATGTAGTATCGTATTAGTTCATAAATAGATCCCAAAATTTATAATTCATTATTCTCATCGGGGTATAACAGTTAATAGGCTAATTAGTGGGTTTGCGCTTATCTTTAATTTCAATCTCTAGAGTAATATGTTACAACATTCTAAATCTATATTTGAGTTTATCTTAATCCCCATAATTTGTATAAAATATATTGTATCTGGGATAATGTTAACTACTCACATACTAATACTATGCTTTGGAACATAAAGAAGTTACTGATGTTACTAAAAGGATTGTATATCATTTTGCTTATAAACATGAATTATTAAATATGCTAAACATAAATTAAATGATAAGTGTTTTTTTAGCGAGTTAGTTTTCTACGGGATGGGGTTGGTAACCCCATAACCAACCCTCCTCCTTTATCCGGGCTTGGGACCGGCAGTAGCTCCCAGAGTGACTCCAGGCGGAGTTAAATGATAAGTGTACTTGATCAAATTACCTTATTCACAATCTTTTTTATACACGGGTAAACTTGTAATAAGAAAAAAAAACACAAGAAAAATTGTTGAACTGGGTTTAAACCTTATTGATTTATTGATCTTTTTAATATCATCTGATCTCAAGTGAACATTTCTCACAGGTACTTACTTACTTTTATGTCATTTATCTAAACACCTTAAATGAACAAACTAAATTACATTAAAGATAAACTAATACCAGTGACCATTTCAATATGAAGATTTATAATTGAAACATCTAGGTCATAGAATGTTACTTCAACAAAATCATTCTCTTGAAATATATACCTACTCTACCATCTCAGAATGTAGCCTCTATGTTTAAAAGTTTTAATAAAAGATTATTGTGATCTGTAATCGAGCGGTGGATAATCATGTCTGATATTACTTTTATTAGTAGTTTGTGGTGGAGTACCTAACCTCGATGATTCTGATGATGGTATATATATATATATATCCTGTTTCTTTTCGTATATAACACCTAGACTAACCTCATTATGTAAGGGTTGTATTTAAATACCAGATATAAAATGTTGTTGGAAGATTAGATTTCATACATTGACTTACAAGCAGACAACAACAAAAACTAGATCGCTTATAGCTATAAGTATGGTGAAGGTATGGTATGTGCTACTTATATTGACATAAGTAGTATATGATGTTAATCGTGGACAAAAGGTCTGGCAGCATAGAGACAAGAGGATCGAACAATAAAGAATGAAAACAGGATGTAATTTGTATGAAAATACAAGAACAATGAAGTCTGGGTCATTTTGAGACAACTGGTGGACATTTTGTAAATTAAGTATTTACTTTATGATTGTTAGATTTTATTAACAAGTCCTGTATTTGTGTGTTGGACACGTTTGATTGTCCCCGCCCGTGTTCTGTTCACTACAAAGGTATACGAACGAAAGATGAAAGTTGATTACATTTGAATACTTACAATATAACCAAATAACATTAAAATTGTGCATGCACAGTTCCTAAGAGTTTATAAGACGAATGTAAATTTAATAAGGTATTCATTGAATATTTTCATTTTGACGATTTTATATACTTAGACTATACAATCTAATATATCGTCAACCGTATTTACTCAAATGGGTAATCTTTAGCAGAATAGATTGGTGTTGAACATTTAAAAAGTTTTGAAATAATGTCTTGTTATGAATTGTTTATGAAACTCGGATATCTAAAGGAATGCAATGATCAGCTAGTGAGAAGTACTAAGATGAAGAGAATTGGTCCACTTGATAGCTATTGAGAACAGAATAGTTAAAAGCAAAGTTGGATGTTGGCTAGCAGTGGAATCCAGGACACGTAATATGTCAGCCGGATATATGTGCGTCCCAGAGTTGGTGTTCACTTCGGAACTCGAACCCGATACTGTCCGCTTTAGACGTTATCGCGTTACCCATATAGTTACTGAGCCCTGACAACCAGTAGCTTGTGCAATAGGGTTAAGTTTTAATTCAATTTGTATTGTTTGTTTGAATTTCTCCATACATGTTTAGGACTGCGATTGTGACTCAAGGCAATCCACACATGATGAACATATGCCAATAAGAGACTGATCAGTTTCAGTTCTAACACATCAATGGGGAGATTCAAACAAACAATGCAAAGAAGAATAGTTAAAAGTTATAATAATGGCTAATTATTAGTTGTGAAAATAAGTGTAGAAGAGTAGGAATAATAATTTAAAGAAACAAGAGATTAGAAAAGGGTGACAAGGAAGGTTCAGACCATAGAATAATGAGGAATAAAACATAATGTTTTGTGTACACGAAGGTTAAGCTTAAACAAGTGGATAGCAATGGCCTCTTCTATATGATTGATTTTGAAGAGTGATAAAAGTTGAAAAAATCGTTAAATGTATGTAATGTGGTTTCAGTCATGTGATATATCCTAGTACAGGTTATTTTAAACAAATGATTGAATCAACGACAGTTCATCGTCAGATTGAATTGAGTCATAGTGCAGTGTGTGCTACTGATGTCGTTACATATAAGTAGCATGTATCATGAATGGGAAGTGAAATGCTTAGCGGCAGAAGGTTAAGGAGATCGAATGAAAGAGAACGAGAACATAGAATGATTGATATGGAAACGAAAGAAAAATGAAGTCTGATACGATTGTTTAATTTCTTGTAAATGAAGTATTTACTGTATGATTCTCAGATTTTACTAAGATATTTTGTAATTTTGTAGTGTCTGTCTATATTTCTTGGCGTATTGTGTTGTTTAGTTTTCCTCTTCTCCTTTAGCCTTGAGGATTCCAAGTAATACTTCCATTTCTTTGTATTGAGTTATAATATTTTGAATAAATCGTATAATTTGTTAATACACTACCCTATCTGTTGTGATTTTAAGTCCAGCTTGTTATCATGTGATTTATTTGCCAATCGAAATACGACTTATTCAATCTTAGTAATGTGCTAAACCAACGATGTTCAACCGGTATGAACAGCCTAGTGTCCTTGTTGACTCATTGTTCTTCTAGCTCTTTCAGTTGAATCCAGAACATCAATATCAGCTCTCACTATACGAATCATTGATTTCAAACATACTTGGTTTATATACCAACCAAACAGATCTCATCACAGCATGAAATAGGAAATAACATTCATACACACAATAAAGCCAAAATGTTGTTGTGAATGTGGGAGACTGTAATCATCAATAAACTGAACATAACTTCATAAGAACAGTAAATCATATAATAATAATAATAATCTATATGTTAAAATGGAGCTTATAATAAGAGGAATATAGATAGATATACATAATCTAGTTACTGAATAGTTATACAATAGGAATATATATATATATATATATATATATATATATATATATATATATATATATATATATATATATATATATAATATTAGTCTATTAATAGGTCTCAGGAGTTACTCGTCATTTAATGTTCGCTAGGATATAACACTATCAGGACCCCCCACCCCCGCTGTATTTTTTCTTCGCGTTTCCCCCATCCCTCTCTATTTCTCAAATGATTTTCCCATATTTTTAATTTCAGTATGAAAATATTAATCCTTCTTGTTTGGCTATTGATTTTCCTTCGAAAAAAATGTTACAATTTTTACAAAAACATTATCAATTAAAAAATCCAATTTTTTCATCAAATAATTTTGTTGTTTATTCAAGATTTTTTGATCAAATTTTTTATGATACATTAAACATTGAAAAACATTCTACTATTCCATGTGAATTATCATCTATTATTCAAATTTGGGATACAGAAGGTTTAATTCATAAAAGAAAGATGAATCCTCTTGTCAATCATTCTTATCATAAACCTAATAATAATAATAATAATAAAAATAATAATCACTATGGCAACACAATAACCATGGATGAACAACCAAAGTTAAATGATCAAATTCATATTCATAATAAAACATTAACTAATCAACAAGTGAATGAATTACATAGAACTATCAATGATCAAATACCTATACCTATGATAGATATGAAGTTATGTAATAATAGTAATAATAATAATAATACATTAACAAGTGTTTATGATGTATCTAAAATAGATAATGGAAATATTAAATTAAAACAACATCTTAATGAGTTAAAACCTATGGATCATCATCATAATGGAGTGAAGACATTAGGACTATTACATAATGTATATGATAATGTTAATAGGTAAGTATTACTTAGGGATTATATATGTTGAATAATATCGGTGATGTCATAACTTGTGGTTTTGTGCCTTTGGTTCTTTGTTTTTCACCCCATCGCCAATTGTTATAACTTGTGCCCATTTCCCCTATCAATGTATAATGTAATGATATCGCCAATTAGAGAATTATCGACCGAACCAATGACGCATAAAACCCGTGAGAGCAGTCTAGAGTCCTTATTGGTCCTGCTTCCTGCCTAGCCGTGCCTGTTAAGTCCAGGACATCGATCTCAGCCTCTGAAAAATGAATCATTTACTCTAAACATACTCGGTTTATATACCAACAAGACAGACCACATCGTACCATAAAATACGAAACAACATTTGTACAAGATTTAGCCAAATGTGGCTGTGAATGTGAGAGACTGTAACTAACAGACTGGGCATAACTCAAGAATGGTAAATCATATAGTAATAATTCATAGGTCAAAATAAAGCTTATGTTAAGAGGAACACGAATATGAATAGTTTGGTTATTTAACAATCATACGATAAAAATTTACCTATAGTATTAGTACAGAAATAGATTCCAACAGTGACCATTCATTATTCTCATCGGGATATAACAGGTGAGACTATAATTTATGGACAACCGTTGAGCGACGCTAATGTCCACCGAATAACTAGGACCAAATAAGGGTTATGAACCAGTAAGGGAAATTAAAATTATGATTTAAAGTTGATCGTAAGGGTTAAGTTTCAGATCTATGGTTATCACCGCGAACTGACGTCAGCTAAAATGTCAAGACGCTACTTGAACGAATGGGTGAGTGAACTTCGCGCCAAAATCTAAGACCTGTGATTGTAAATCTGATTGGTCCGTCCATATATCATAGTCTCGGCGTAATATCTTATACTGAAACAAAAGAAAAAAATGTATGTTATGGCAGCTCATGTGCAACTGAGTTTGTTTACATTCAATTTGGTTAAACCCTTTTATTAACTTATTTAAAGGACAGAGTCATTTATACGATAACAACCTATATCAGTGTACCTTTATTATCATTGTTGCACTTGTATGAATATGCATACTTGAGCTTTGCTTACTGCCTACTCATATTTTCATTCTACTAGCCTTATTATTAGTCGCTTATTAATTGATTCGATGATCCATTCATTTCACTATGTATATATATGTGCATTTTAATCCTGTTAATTGACTCGGCGACTCGCTCGCTAGCTTTTCCGCATTACTTTTTCATGCTTGCTTAACGTACCTGTAAGTTTGGTTATTTGTGCGTGGTGCAATAATAAACTTAATCAATACTTCGTATTCGCCATCTGATTAATACACTGTTGGGTCGTTATTTAGGGATAGTTATCAGGATGAACTATATATGAAGTTTAAAGGCGCTATAGTGAATACCAAACACCACTTGTTCATCTAGTAATTATTGGAAAATTGACTTGTATTATTCGCTGTAGTTAAAGGATGTGTGTAATGTCAGTTACTATATTAGGCCTATATGATTTGTTCTAGCTTCTGGACAGACTAATTCATTCATTCTTCTTGAGTTACATTTTGACGTTGTTATTTATTTACTTACTTACCAACCTTCACTGTTTTTATATGAGCGCATAAGTGTGTGCACTTCTTATCTCATTCATCATTTGTCTGTAACTTATTTTTGTGTGACTATAACGGTCTGATATGTGACAAAATCTCAGCACGAATACAGAAGGTTCGACTAGCTTTTGCCAACTTGCGTCATTTATGGCGTAGGCGAGATATTCGTCTACCGACTAAAGGACGGATTTACTGCGCAGTAGTTCGTTTCTTCCTACTTTATGGCAGTGTAACATGACTGGTAAGAGTAGAGGATGTTTGTAGGTTACTAGTATTTGATCATAGGTGTCTTCGAAGCATTGCTCATATATCCTGGGAACACCGAGTATGTAATACAGTTTTTAGGAAACTTGTACTAGATAAGGATGGCAAATCAATTGATGAAGTAATGAAACTTCATCAGTTGAGATGACTGGAACATGTGTTGCGCATGCCCAATCACCGACTGCTCCAACCACCATTGTGGATACTCACTCCTGAGGGTTTTTTATACTAGGAAGAAATGGCTGTTTAGTGCTTCCAGATTTTCAATGATGATATAGTTTAGATGAACTCGTGAATTCAACTTTGATGCTTGTTTCAATCAAAAATATAAGTTAGACTAACTTTCATAATACATGAATATAAATAATTGAGATTATTCAGTATTTATCCATTGGGTTGAAGTAACTGTTAGGAGATCATAGATCAGAATGAATGAAGTTATTAATTATTTCGATGTGATGTTCTTAGGAACTCCGATGAATATTTTATCTATAAAGTGTACGTTCTTTACTGGCTAGACTGATTACTTCTTATCTTAATAGTTTGAGACTTGAACGAGAATATTAGAGGTATGTTTTTGAAGAGTAATTACAGGTATTTACTAGTTGTGGTCATCTTTGTTGATATTCTGAATTGGATGAAGAAATTACAGGTTGTCGCAAAAACATTTATTTATTTATTTAAACACATAAAAATTGGTACAAAAGGACACCAAATAGATATGCGCCACATAATCACTCGATTTATGTGAGGTCTGGGATACTGTCCGGGTGCCCAACCGAACTTGGTGGTTTCCTTAGAGGGCAAAATCCCGAGCCTTTGACTTAAAGGTCTAATTCACAAGGCAGTGGAGCAACGTAAGGAGATGCAGTTCCATGGTAGCCGGTGACTAATAATAGGTTCATCCACCATTTGTTTCCTTATGATTCTGGAGCCCATGTACACCATTGGTTTGGAATGAGGGTTTCCCAACTTCCCTAGATGGATTCTCCATATCCACCAACCTGGTTAAAAAACCGGACATTCGCTTTTCGTGCTATCAATTTCGTAAACAACATGTGTGGTGCGAGAAGGCAGTTAGTAAGACTTCCTTGGCAGTGGTTGTAAGCACGTGCTCATTTCGAGATAAAGAGTTGACTCTCGCTACTCTTATCTGTACTAGGTCATTTAGGGGCTTCTCAAAAACATGCGTCTTCATAATATTGTTTATGTATGTTGGGATTACCGAGTGAACAATAATGAGATCAGATGCATGATACTAGGTAAAGATGAAAATCTTGTTGGTGAGGTGGCGAATCTTTATCGAATAATGTGGCTAGAATATGTTATATGTATGTCCAGCTACTGCCTACTTCAACGCACGATGTTTACTAGTGTACGAGCAGATGTGAGCAATATTTCCAAGTCATCTGTGATTAAATACTTGTAGGTTACGAGTATCTCCTATTCTTAATGAACACGTTTCGCAGTCGTTAAGTAGAACAGAACGAACTATTGCGCAGTATAATCGTCCCTTAACTGATAGACGGATATCTCCATCTGGAGTTCACTGGTTATGAAACATATAAATACTAAAAAAGTATCATTTCTATCTTATCAACCAAATTTTCTGAAATGCTTTTATGTCTAAATATGTCTCAAGCAATAAGAAAGAAAAAATTTCACATTGAAATAGTATATCATGTGGGGAATCATTAGTTTGCCACTATATTGGTGAATGAAACAAGTATATTTTTTGATTGTGTGTGATCAAAGCCACATGTACAATCATGTTTGTCAGTTGACTATTGAAAATATTACTTATATTTCTTAATAGTTGAATTCTTGAGTCAGTGTAAGATGGACAACTATTGAAAACCTGAAAGAATTGGACTGCTGTTTCGTCCTAGTATAAGACTCCTCAACGGTGCGTCCACGGTCCCACACGCGGGGTTCGAGCACAGGACCTTCGGTTTCGCGCACGAACTCTTAACCTCTAGACCACCGAATCGGCATTCATCGATCCATGAATGGCTGTGCAAATATTCATCCGTTGTTTGAGGTAGATACCTGTCTCTACCCGATACGGATTGAACTCCACTGGTATGGTAGAACGCAAGCAGAAACTAAATGTAGTATATTAATTCAAGACTTGAAAATTTACTTCTTTTTTAAGGAAAGTTTAATGTAGTCAATACATAAAGTCTGATAATAAGAATGCAAAGTTTTGTATGTTCATAGTGTAAAGCAGTATGGATATACAATTAAGAATTGAAAATGCATATCATCTAGTATCTTAAATGGAATACTGCTTCAAAAAACGTTTCATTTCTGATTAATGATCATTAAGATTGGCTCTTCACCAGTAGATATACTTCAAAAAGATAAGTTATTGCATCGAATTCTAGGAAATTGGTAGTTTACAACCGTCATATTATGTATTCAAAAATGATGAGATGTAGTTATCAATGGAATCAAGAACGCATGTTTCATCCCACTTAGCATTCATCAGCTGAATGCACTTGCCTTCCAGAGTTGACGTTCATTCTGAAATTCAAACCTCATTGTCTTTCACTTCAAATAGTTAATACGTTTATCCACTTAACTACTGAGTCCCGATAGCTACCCACTTGTACAAGTATGTTATATTGTGTACTGAAAATTATTAAAAAAGCTAATCTTGTCTAAGATACGATGATATAATATTATCTGATAATAATAAAGTGATCTTATTTTTTGAAGCGTTCGGAGTAAGAAAAGAAGTGAATTTCATTCATCTTTTAGTCATACCACTCTTTTTTCATTTGTTACCGTTGTTGCTACCTTGACGTGATGGTTGGTCTTGCCTATCGTGATGAACCAATCGAGCTATACTGGCTGGAACAATCGTTCCTCATGGTCACACCATGCCAGATAGGTCGGTTGAAGAACGATAAGACTAAAAGCAGAAAACCCATGGACCGAAGGCGAAGTCGTACTGCTGACTATACAAAGCTGTGACGGCAGTAAGGTGTTCTCTTCAGACAACCAGTGTAACAGCGATGCTACCTTCCTACAATGAGGGATTGGATTAGAATAGGTTGACCCTTAAGATGCACAAATCACCTTATCCTACAGATATTCATCTCCGGAGGTAAGGTACCGGCAAATACGAAGCTAACACAAAAAGGTCGTGTGTGACCCTTCGGCACCGCGGTCACGCTCTCAAGTCATTAAGACCACCTCTCACCCAATTTCCTTTTCAAGTACTTCCAGAAGAATCTTTCAACGGTGTGGGCAACCGGGAAGTGATAGCCGCCCACATACCTCTAACAGTATTCAAGACCACTGTTGTAATTTAAACTAATGAACTATATTGACAGTTTTTAGTTTAATGTTTATGTAAATGAGATAGGATATGTTTCCATGAATTTATAGAGCATCCTAGTTTTTCAGTGTCCAATATGTGTGCAGTATTAAACATTTCCGCACACTTTTCTATTCATTTATAGTGGGTTAATGTTACACATAAAAGCATATTTCCATTAAAGATTTCATTTCAAGCTTTAGCTTTCAATTTATCTGGGTTTTTTTCATCCAGTAAGTTGGAATGCCCTACAGTAGTGTGGTTATAGAAGATATATAGAGATAATTTTAGATGATTGAAATAAAATGTCAAATGAAAACTATTTGTTGTATATACATTTTGAGGATGCTAGATCTTCAGAAGTCACTTGGTAAACGTATTATTTTTGTAATTTTATTTCAGCAATTTGAATTTCTTGTTTTCGCGCTAAAAGAGCCAATTTTCACCTTCATATCGTATTTCGTACTTGTCAGGTCTTTAAATATCATTGGTTCGTCGTCTCTATTTTGTGAAGTTTCTCAAGGACATTTTCATGCTGTATATATATACTATTGAGTTGGGTTTGTTGTTGTGTTTCGTACTTTTGTCTGTTTGTGGGATAAGTATCTCTCTTCTGACCTGAACTTCTCCCTCTAGTTAACGAGACTGGGATGCATCGGAATAGTTAGCTTATCTGATCATTGTGTTGCTGAGTCTTCATTCCGTTCTCAAATTTAGGTGATCTCATAATCTCTTCAAATATTTAATGAGGGTGGTTAACCTTATACAGGATTTAATGATTATAACCTTACTAATATTTATTGTTTTCATTTCATTAGGAATTTATTTTCCAAGCCTTTTGTAAAAAATGATGGATAGTTGCTAACCGTGAAATCCAGGACGCGCGTTTCGTCCTTTTCAGGACTCGTCAGCTGGACGTACCTGCATCTCAGAGTTGATGTTCACTCTGGGACTGGAACCCAGTACCATTCACTTCAAACGCCATCGCGTTATCCACTTAGCTACTGAGTCCTGATAGCCGCTTGCTTTTGCAGTGGGGTGAATTTAAATTCACTTGGTATTGTTTGGCTTGTATCTTCCCATTGAGGTTTAGGACAGCAACTGATCAGTCTGTTATTGGCATATGTGCATACTGTGGGAAGATACAGGTTAAACAATACCAAGTGAATTTATTTTCCAAGTTAATAAACATGGTCATTTTCCACTTTGATTATAAATCTTACTTAACAAATATCTTTTTCTATATTGTTATCCTATTTGAGAGATTACTGAATGTTTTACTACGTATTACTGAATAGGTTTCCATTGATAATAGTAGACTAACAGTAAAACTATCAGTGAGTAATACAAATTTCTAAGTTGAATTACATTATGTATTAGATTCTTGAGAATGCAACCTCGTGAGGTGGGGCCGTGAATGCCAACTGCTGAAGAGTTGCACAATAAGACGAAACAGCCATCCAGTGCTTCCAGGTGTTTCATGTTGGTCTAGCTTTAATTGACTCATGATTTCAACTATTAAAATTACTATAATATTCACAAAATCCCTCTCTAATTAAAATTTATATATATATAATTTCAGATCTACAACACAAAAGAAATCGACTAGTTCCATTATGACCACCAATTCAGAAATGTTTAATTATCGTTCATACGAATTAAAAAATCGTTCTAAACAAACTTACTCTTATATAAATGCTGTACGTAATCATAATTGTCATACAAGATTGTGGTAACTTGCTTGGTATGTTATTCATTCTTTGTTTTATCATGTGTAACTATTATATAATTTTTATGAAAGCATATGCTTATAATGAACTCTGCCTGGAGTCCCTCCGGGGGCTACTGCCAGTCCCATGCCCGGATAAAGGAGGAGGGTTGGGCATGGGGTTAGCGTCCTCATCCCGTAGAAACCTAACTCGCTAAAAAACGCCAACCAGAAAAAAGTATTCAAACCTTTTAAACTCTGCCCTGGGAGTCAGAAGGTTTTCAGTTAGAAGAACTATGACGCCTCATGATGAAAGCCGAGTTCCTTCGGAAGTTACGAGGCCGATGCCCCTTCTGACAACCAGAGCGACCATTTATTTAGGTACATGGAATGTTCGTACAATGTGGGACACCGGAAGAGCCTTCCAAATCGCTGCAGAAATGAGAAGATACAACCTGGAGGTGCTTGGGATCAGTGAAACACATTGGACGCAAGTTGGACAACAACGACTAACTTCAGGAGAGCTCCTGTTATACTCCGGCCATGAAGAAGAAAATGCCCCACATACACAAAGAGTTGCATTGATGCTGTCCAAACAAGCACAAAATGCACTTATAGGATGGGAATCTCATGGATCAAGGACCATCAAAGCCTCCTTCAAAACAAAGAAAGAGGGCATTTCAATGAACATCATCCAATGCTATGCGCCTACCAACGATTACAATGAAGAAGCTAAAGATCAATTCTACAATAGGCTGCAGTCAATCATCGAAAAGTGCCCAACAAAGGACCTGACCATTCTGATGGGAGATTTCAATGCCAAGGTTGGAACGGACAGCACTGGATATGAAGACATCATGGGACGACACGGACTGGGAGAAAGGAACGAAAATGGTGAGAGATTTGCAAATCTATGTGTCTTCAATAAGCTGGTCATCGGCGGCACCATATTTCCACATAAACGCATACACAAAACCACATGGACTTCACCGGATCACTCTACACAAAACCAAATCGACCACATCTGCATCAACAAAAAGTTCAGGAGGGCGATGGAAGACGTGAGAACCAAGAGAGGAGCTGATATAGCATCAGACCATCAATTGCTGGTCGCCAAGATGAAATTGAAACTCAAGAAGCACTGGACAACGGGGCAGACGGTATCACAAAAGTTCAATACGGCCTTTCTCCAGGATACTAACAAACTCAACAAATTCAAGATAGTCCTCAGCAACAAGTTCCAGACCTTTCATGATCTATTCAATGGAGAAGGAACTACTGTGGAGAGCAACTGGAAGGGGATCAAAGAGGCAATCACTTCAACATGTCATGAGGTCCTGGGTCACAAGAAGCACCATCACAAGGAATGGATCACTGTTGATACACTGGATAAGATTCAAGAAAGGAGGAACAAGAAGGCAGCAATCAATACCAGCCGAACAAGAGCAGAAAAATCCAAGGCACAAGCTGAATACACAGAAGTAAACAAACAAGTGAAGAGGATCATTAGAACCGACAAACGTAAATATGTGGAAGATCTAGCAATGACGGCGGAAAAGGCTGCAAGAGAGGGAAACACGAGACAACTGTATGACATAACAAGGAAACTATCTGGAAATCGCCGCAAACTTGAACGACCAGTGAAAAGCAAGGAAGGCGAGGTAATCAACATTGAAAAGCAACGAAACAGGTGGGTAGAACACTTCAAAGAACTCTTGAATCGACCAGCTCCACTGAACCCACCCAACATCGAAGCAGCACCCACGGACCTCACAATCAATTTTGGCTCACCAACAACTGAAGAAATCAGCATGGCCATCAGACAAATAAAGAGTGGCAAAGCAGCAGGACCGGACAACATTCCAGCAGAGGCACTAAGAGCAGACGTAGCGGCGACTGCAAGGATACTCCACATTCTCTTCAATAAGATTTGGGATGAGGAACAAGTACCAACAGACTGGAAAGAAGGACTTCTGATCAAAATACCGAAGAAAGGCGATCTCAGCAACTGTGATAACTACAGGGGCATCACTCTTCTCTCAATACCGGGAAAAGTCTTCAACAAGGTGTTGTTAAACAGGATGAAGGACTGCGTAGACGCCCAACTTCGTGACCAACAGGCAGGATTCCGTAAGGATAGATCGTGTACAGACCAAATCGCAACTGTACGGATCATTGTGGAACAATCAATTGAATGGAATTCATCACTACATCAACTTCATTGACTACGAAAAGGCATTTGTTAGCGTTGACAGGACAACACTATGGAAACTTCTTCGACACTACGGCGTGCCTTAGAAGATAGTCAACATCATACGGAATTCCTATGATGGGTTAAACTGCAGAAATGAATGGAGGACAATTGACAGACTCGTTCAAGGGAAAGACCGGTGTCAGGCAAGGTTGCTTACTCTCACCCTTTCTCTTTCTCCTGGTGATCGACTGGATCATCAAGACGTCAACATCTGAAGGGAAGCACGGGATACAGTGGACATCTAAGATGGAGTTGGACGATCTAGACTTCGCAGATGATCTGGCCCTTCTATCGCAATCGCAACAACAAATGCAGGAGAAAACGACCAGTGTAGCAGCAGTAGGTCTCAATATACACAAAGGGAAAAGCAGGATTCTCCGATACAAAACAGCATGCACCAATCCAATCACAATTGACGGAGAAGATTTGGAAGATGTAAAAACCTTTACATATTTAGGCAGCATCATTGATGAACATGGTGTATCTGATGCAGATGTGAAGGCGCGGACCGGCAAAGCAAGATCAGCATATTTACAATTAAGGAACATCTGGAATTCAAAGCAACTGTCAACCAACACCAAAGTCAGGATTTTCAAAACAAATGTCAAGACAGTTCTACTGTATGGGGCGGAAACCTGGAGCCATCATCCAGAAAATACAGCTATCTACGCGAAAAATCTTCGGATCCGTTGGCCGGACACTATTAGCAACAACCTACTGTGGGAAAGAACAAACCCGATTTCAGGGGAGGAAGAACTAAGGAAGAAGCGTTGGAAGTGGATAGGACGCACAGTGAGGAAAGCACCCAACTGCATCACAAGACAGGCCCTCACATGGAATCCTTAAGGCCAAAGGAAAAGAGGAAGAGCAAAGAACACATTACGTTGGGAAATGGAAATATACATTAGAAAAATGAACGAGAATTGGATGGAACTAGAAAGGAAGGCTCAGGACAGAGTGGGTTGGAGAATGCTGGTCGGCGGCCTATGTTCCATTGGGAATAACAGGCGTAAGTAAGTAAGTAATATGCTTATATTGAACTGTTATCTCTAGGTTAAGAGAATTGGTGGTAACCAATTCCATTGTATATAACCACAGATTATTCACAATTGTCAACATTGTTGAATGAATTCGAATTTGAAAGTTTAAGCTAAAATCATTTATCGTCACATTCTGATAAGAAACAGTTAGGAGTTAATAGAATTAACTACTAGTTATACTCGACTGTGATCACTTAATGATGACCAATTTCATGTTTCATAAAGAGTTTTTGTGAATGTTATAGTAATTTAACAGTTGAATTTATGAGTGAATTGAAGGGAACTACTGACGAGTCCTACACTAGGATGAAACGACCGTCCAGTGCTTCCATGGTTTTCATGGTGATCTAGTTTCCTGTTTCTCCACTCCTCTAGTAGATATTCATCTTTAATCCTATTCAAATATTCATAATAAGATTTCAGGAAATTTATCTTGTTTTATTTCACTGGTAACCATGATCATTTAACCAAAATGTTTGTTTATGAGATGAATCTCTATGGTATTTTACCTACTTTCAATTATTCATTGCCTTCAATCTATGATAAATAATGAGTAAACTTATGTTAGCTACTCGTAAGTAACCTATAATTAAAGACGAAAAAAAATTACTTTCGAGAAAGTGTTCTTGAAAATGTAATTGCCTAGGATATTTGTTTTGCTAGTGGAATGAATTTACACAATTACTGATCATTAAGTATTGGAATATGCTAGCGGTTGTATTTTAATCCGCTTGTTTCAAGAATGATATAATCAAATCAGCTTTAGAATGCAAGTACGTCCAACTGACGAGTCATAAATAGGAAGATGTTTGAGTCTTGAATTCGACTGCTAACAATTATCAATCTCTGCTTACACTGACTGACCTAAAGCAATATTGAGGCAATCTTCACAGGATAAAGAATTGCCAATAAGTGACTGATCAATTGCAATCTTAAATGTCAATGGAAAGATTTAAACAATCCATACATAGAGAATTATAATAATCAAAGTCTCCACAAAGCGCTCCAGTAACTATAACCCACGTTTCAAAATAAGCGTTGAAAATGTTGAGTGTCGATGCTCTAAGTGGTTGTAAATCAATCAAATATCGTATCTTAAAGCATTGAGGTACTTTTTCTGGATATTTTCATCATATAGTCAGTCAGAAGAATTCATTCATCCAAAATATCTGTGTATCATCTTGCTCATTTCGGATATCTCTTCCTATTTGTTGACATGCTAAAATCGATTTCAAACAAAAGAACAGTTGATGTACTTATCCTTATGATAAATAATCGGTAACCGTATTACTGAGCGTATTCAAATACTTGCAAAATATTAATACTTAACATATTCTTGTAATCATGGTGGCCAAGTACATATTCTTAATTTTACCGTGACTTTTAAAAACTCTTCGATAACCATACGAACTTCTAAGGATTCCAAGTTAGAGCTTGCATCGTGATGCAGTTTGGTGATTTCCATAATTTATGTCCTATCCACTTCCAGCATCTCTTAATTTCCTCTTCAGATGGAAGCTGGTTTGTTGCCTCTCACAGTAGGTCAACGAACAGTCAGTATATTGTGTAGACAATTGTTTGTAAATACTTATACCTTTTTGATTATTATTGTGGTAGTTCCCCAAGTTACTGCTCCGTACAATAGAACTGTGTTGACATTCGTATTGAAGATTGCGACTTTGATATTGGTTGACATTTTTTTTAGTTCCATATGTTCTTTAATTGTAGAAATGCTTCCCTTGCTTTGCCAACCCTCACCTTTATATCTGCATCGAATTCTCCTTGTTCATCGATGATGCTGATCAGGTACATGAAAGTTCCCACCTCTTCCAGAACTTCTCCATCAAGTGTGATTGCGTTGAGGTTATCCGTGTTGTATTTGAGAATCTTAGTTTTTCCCTTGTGTATGTTGAGGCCTACCGTTACAGAGGCTGCTGCTGCACTAATTGTCTTCACCTACATTTGTTCGTGTGTATGGGACAGAAGGGTTAGGTCGTCTGCGAAGTTCAAATCATCTAGTTGCATCCAACCAGTCCATCGTATTCGCTGTAATTAAGATAACAATAGTGGAGTTTATTCATTGTTTTACTGTAGTTACTACATGTTAACAGAGATTATTCTAAATATTTCTAAGAAAATAACCGATGCTCAAACTACTTTTTATCGTATATTTTTCTTTAATTCAGAGCCGAAACAATGTCTATCTATATTCATACAATAGACTGACAGTGTTACGCAATCCACAGTGACACTGACATTTATAAACTGAAAAAAGATTCCAGATATATATTGACAAACTTCAATAGTCATTCATTTAATCACAGTTAAACAATGATGTAATACTTTATACTTGATAATTCCATCTATCTCTTTGTATCTTCTGACATTTGTGGTCGAATTCAATTGACTATCATCATAACTACCTGTCTAATCTTTTGAATTCTTCATGTCCCTTTATTTTTTCTCGTTCCAAATTTACTTCACTGGATTGTATTACTTGAATAACAACTTCAAACCGTAATCTTTCCGATTACTGCTTATACTTTTATTACCTTTACCACTATAAGATTTGAATCGACAATTGTATCTCTGTGCTAATGTACTATTGGCAACTCGAACTGATAGACATACGTACGAAGTTCTACGTTGTTACTGACTGACTGACTGATTGGCTACCTGTAAATATAACTTTATTGATTATAATGGTAAAACGAATGTAATTGATCCGTGGTATTTCTTAAAAAAAAGGAAAAAGTTTCTTCAGTTTGCCTGCTACTTTGCTTTTCTATTCCATTTTGATTTAATTTTTGCTTTTTTTTCCATTTTAAATGGTTATTGTTAAGATTATTATTATTATTATTATTATTATTCATAGTATAATCTTTGTTTCCATCATCATTTTCCTTAGAATTTGTACATTAGGGAAGGGTGAGTTTTCGAAGCTTTTGTCTTAAAAGATGAAGTGATTACTGTTGTGACTTTAAGATCGGCTTGTTATCACGTGAGTTATTTGCCAATCGAAATACGACTTATTCAATCTTAGTAATGTGCTAAACCAACAACGTTCAACCGGTATGAACAGCCTAGTGTCCTTGTTGACTTATTGTTCTTCTAGCTCTTTCAGTTGAATCCAGAACATCAATATCAGCTCTCACTATACGAATCATTGATTTCAAACATACTTGGTTTATATACCAACCAAACAGACCTCATCACACCATGAAATAGGAAATAAAATTCATACACACAATAAAGCCAAAATGTGGTTGTGAATGTGGGAGACTGTAATCATCAATAAACTGAACATAACTTCATAAGAACAGTAAATCATATAATAATAATAATAATAATCTATATGTTAAAATGGAGCTTATAATAAGAGGAATATAGATAGATATACATAATCTAGTTACTGAATAGTTATACAATGGGAATATATGCATAATATTATTATTTCACCGGATTGTAGTATTAGTACCCCGACATGATGGTTAGGGCTTGGGTGCCATGATAAACATGTCAACCTATATTTGCTAGTACATTAATTCCTTTGGGTCCTATTATAACAGACAGGTTAGTTGTAGAGCCATAAGACTAAAAACAACAAACTTATAATACGATGGCAAAGTCGTATTGTTCATTGTACAAGATCATGGCAAAAGTAAGCTGTTTCCCGAAGACAACCAGGATTTACAATGATACGAACTTTTCATGACGGGTAGGGAGTTAGGAGAAGTTGATATCAAAGATAGTTCATATGATCTTCCCCCATGGATTTTCATCTCTGACAGCAAAGCTTACTTATCTGAAAATATTCATGAGAAAGACATTCATGACCAGCATCATGCAGTTACCTCTTGAGCACTTTGATTAAACCATCAAGTTTTCAAGACTATCCCGAGCGCAGTTTCTTTTCCAAATATCTCTAAGAGAAATGTCCTTTCATGATGTATACAGCCGGATACTGACAAATTTCCGTATACCGCGAAAAATACTTGATGACTGATTGATTTTTATTTCACATTCGTTTCGATCAGTTCAACTTTTGAATCATGAGAATAGCGTGTCGAGTTCCATTTCATGAAGTTGTCTATTGTAGAGTATTAACATTTCTGATTTAAACTCAGAATAGTTTGAATGAAATAATCAACAGCATCAGTAGTATATCATTATAGACAGAAAATGGTGTATTAAACTTTCATCCAAGTTAAACATTTAAGTAAACAAAAAACTTAAATATTAAGGTAGTACATACTATAGAATAGGAAAATGGGTGGAAAACATTGGGCGGGATCATAAATCATTACATTTAATGAGATATGTTTGTGTTATGAAGATTTTATAACCTTGGTATACTCATATCTTATTAAATGAGTCATATCGAAGGCAGTTTGAAGGACTGAGTAGCTATAGCTAAAGAATTAATGAAAATCACTAAGAGTTTAATAGTTATTTCCATTTCTAATGTAAATACTGAACCAACAGGGACTATGATTTTAATATTAGGTTGAAACCAAGGATTTTATTTTACAGATTAAAATCACGAGTCAGTTGAAGCTAGACCACCATGGAAAACCTGGAAGCACTGGACGGCCATTTCGTCCTAGTATGGGACTCCTCAGCAGTGCGCATCAACGATAAAGCCCCCTGCGAGATTCCAACCCAGGACCTATCAGTCTCGCGTCAAGCGCACAGCTGAGGAGTCCCATACTAGGACGAAATGGCCGTCCAGTGCTTCCAGGTTTTCCATGGTGGTCTAGCTTCAACTGATTCATGATTTCAATCTATGAAATTTCTAAAATCTCCACAAACCCCTTCTGATTTTCTTTTAGTCAAAATCATTGTTCACTTATTAGGTGAAAATGCAAAATTTCAACTTCATTCTTATCAATGCATAGTGCATATATACTAGTGGCCCTTTATTTTGTCAGTTTCAAATCGGACGATGTTGTCGACGGGCTCACCACTTTAATGCTCTAGGATCTGACTCCAGTGAGATCGTTTCTAATTGCTATTGAGATATACATATCGTCAATCCTTAAAGATAATTATCGACTTAGATCGTGTTAGTGAATAACGTAATTAAATAAGTCAAATAAAAGAATGGATTTTTGAATGCATATATTTTGTACACTCGCAGATCTGGACAGGAAGTCAGGGGGATGAAATAAATAGAAAAGAGCGGAGCAAAATGATGCGCAGTGAAGAAGGCATGTGAACCAACTCCATTTAACCAAGCGTTAATCAATATTTATAGTCACACAAAAATAAGCTACAGACATCTGTTGGGTAGGACAAGATGTACAGAAATATACGCTCATATAAAAGCAGTGAGGGTTGATAAGTGAATAATTAACAAGATCAAAACGTGGCTCAACAAGAACGGATAAATTGGCCTGTCCAGAAGCTAGAAAAAGGTATATGGGCTTAACATATAAACCGACACTAGAACAAATTGTCAATAGGAATCTACTATCATCTTGACTTAGTTTTACAGGGATAAAAACTCTTGATTTATTTTCTCTTTGCATGTATTCAACCTCATATGGATCTTTGCCGAAACACAAGTGGTTTTTACGTAAATTTTGGAACACCAGCACAAGTCTTACTGCATGAATGCAATGCTCACTCCCAAGGATAGTATATATGTATATGTTGGAATCGACTACAGCTTGTTAATTCCTAATCTGGATCGCATAGATATTTCTCTAAAATACTTAAGGATTATTGATTGCAAAATAGTTAAACAAAATATAGTTAAGAACTATTGTAGTGTGATGTGCACTACTGATGTCAACAGATATAAATAGTACGTATCATGAATGGGAAGTGAAATGCCTAGCAGCAGAAGGTTAAGGAGATCGAAGGAAAGAGAACGAGAACATAGAATGGTTGATATGGAAACGAAGGGACAATGAAGTATGAGACGATTGTTTGACATTCTGCAAATGAAGTATTTACTATATGATTCTCAGATTTTACCAAGATAATCTGTCATTTTGTATTCAAATACATTCGATTGTCCTCAATTATGTTCTCGTTCACCACAATAGTATTGTCTACTAGGCCAATATAAATGTGATTTCTAACCTGAATTTTATTAAAAAATAACGTCACTGGTATATATTGAGATTGATACTCTGACTCTCTGTCATTGTATCTGTCATGAATGAATTAGACCAAGAACATCATAGTGTCGGTTAATAAGAACATCTGTAAATCTATAAGTATTACGTCTGATAGTCATAATGTTTCAACATGGAATAATACACCATGTTGCACAACATTTTCAATCACATTACATGATAATGACATTTTAGACTTCAGTAAACTGAATTTATATGTTTCGTCTTCTGTATAATACGCTGAAGAAGTGATTTGAGGCGAAAATATCTACTTTACCAAATTATTTGATATATGAGTATTATGAGACCAAAGGTCCTAAGTTCGATTTCTTCTAGTAGAATGATAGATCTACACAACTGAAATGTTTTTACTGGAATGAAATAGTTGATGAGTGCTTCCTGGTTTTCATTGATCATTGATCTGAAAAGAAGTGATGTATTTACTCTATACATTTCGAACAATTCGGTCACACATATACTTGTCAGTACATTTTATCTGAAAATTAATAAAAAGGGTAGAGAAACAATTTTATATCGTATAGAAAGAATTAGAAAGGATATGTCACTCAATTTCGTGGGTTAGTTAAAGTTAGACATTAACACTGTTGGATGCCGGTTCAGTGATCTAGTGATTAAGCGCTTGAGTATGAGAATGATAAGTCCTGGGTTCGAGTCTCGTGAGTCGGGATCGTGGATGCGCACTACTGAGGAGTTTCACAATAGGATGAAACGACCGACCGGTACTTCTAGGTTTTTCATAATGGTCTAGCTTCAATTAACTCATGATCTTAATTAATGGAATAAGAGATTGTTGTGTAATCCTAGGCTATAGAATGACTTAAGAATCATCAAGGTAAATTCAAGGTTACGACAAATTGGTTTTTATACACATAAAGGGGGGGTTGTACATTTACGAATAACCAAGGTTTCAATAAATGATTATAAGTGATTTCATTGTTTTAATAAACTTCTTCAAAATATATGATTGATTTTGTGTACGTTTGTGAGTGGATAGGACACACATTGAGGAAAGCACCCAACTGCGTCACAAGACAAGCCCTCACATGGAATCCTCAAGGTCAAAGGAAAAGAGGAAGGCCAAAGAACACATTACGCCGAGAAATGGAGATAGACATGAGAAAAATGAACAAGAATTGGAAGGAAGTAGAAAAGAAGGCCCAGGACAGAGTGGGTTGGAGAATGCTGGTCAGCGGCCTATGCTCCATTGGGAGTAACAGGCGTAAGTAAAGTAAGTAAGTAAGTTGTGAGTCCGCATTTCTGAAGATCCTATACTGGAACAGAATAAAAGTTCCTTGTTCTTTTTCTTTCTTTCTTTTTTCTTGGTTTTGCATCATTCATTATCCAGCTATACTTAGTTCATAACACGAACTCTTCTTTCTGTAATATGTTGAAGCAAATAACAGAATAAAAAAAATTCAACAATTCAGTACTTTTCATTGAATATAGAAGTAATTTATCGACGAAACAGTTGAACTATAGTAGTTGAGAAACAAACGAAAACAATACAACTTAACCATTTATGACAATTTAGTATTGTTTACAGTGAAAACATACTACCTGCTGTATTTTAAGAATTATATATTGTACCCTTGTTTATATTAAGGATTATAGTCGATCAGTATCTAGATCAATATGAATAACTAATATGGAGGATAGATTTCATTGATTATTTTAACTTCAAGTGTTTTGTTCAAGATCAATTCCGTTTCTCACTTCAATATAAACATTATTCAGAATAATATTCTTTAT